CCTTTCTTTTTCTTTTCTAGTTGCTCTTTCACTTCTTCCCAGGTAGGCCTGGGTCGATTCAGATAATCCTGGATGGTTGGCCCTGAAGACTGGATTGGACCTCTTGATCTGGCCATTGCTATTGGATTCATGTAGGCCACCCGATTGTCCCGCTTCCCCATGGTGCCGCACAGAGCGCCCAATTAAGAGTGCGAAAGCTAGACCAGGCAACAGAAGCAGCCGAAACACTGTTGGTAGAAATTGCAGTAAATGTTTTGAATCATTTTAGGTTTAGGATATCAAGGAAGCCCTGAGTCATGAAAGAGGACTTCTAGAACTGCTTCTTCTGAAAGTAACGAGCCATCAGATATGTGTGCTCAAAGTGAGGGGGAATATTCGGAGGGAGGATTAATGGCACTGTCTTTTACTGTAATAAATTTTTATTTAAACATTCACCATATTTTTGATCACACCCCATACATAGGGATGTTAAAGAAAACTTATTTGTTAAAAAGATTAAAGACGCCATGGTAGTGCACACTTGTAATCCCAGCGCTTGGGAGGCTGAAAACAGGAGAATCACTACTAGTCATATCTACATAGTGAGACCCTATAGACCCAGTACTAAATACATTTTTTTTTAATGATTAGTTAAAACATAATAGAGAAGAATTTATTCAGAACCATCTTGATGGATACAGGGACCATAGCAGTCAGGTTTTCTGGTGAGAGAGAGATTGGGTTCAACTCTGAACGTGCACAGGCAGTTGGGGATTTATAGCCAAGGAACAGACAGGGTCATGCCTAGAAAGGGACTATGAGGAATCATCAGTAGTCACAGGGATTCTTGAGAAACCAACCTGACAAGGATCTTGCTGAAGACAGCCCAAGGGCTATCAGCTATCAGCTCACCCGGGGGTGAGGAACCTGGTCAGAACTTCCTAGTTTCTGATTAGAAGCATTCATTACTGAAATTGGATGCTCCCAGGAAGTGTACCAAAGGATGTGCTCTTGGGTGTGTTTCCAGCAGGAAGTGGCCTTTCTGTCCTTAGATGGGAGTGTGATGATCATGGGGTGTGGCGAGAAGTAGCACAGGTGACCTGAGGACTTGGTCATGATGATTTGGGATACTGTGTCTGCCCTGCCAATGTAGAGGCTACGGGTGGTGAGTCTTTATGGACGTGACTTACATAATAGGACAGAATATAGGTTTGTAATATAAATTTGAGAGGGAGCCTACACATTAGCTCAGTTGTTTAAGTGCCTGCTTAAGTAAAGGTAGTCAGGCTCAGGATGCTGTAGTTCGATCCCCAGATCCTCATGTCTTGCAAGACCTACCCTTAAGACATCCTGAGCCAGCCCCTGCCCCCAATAAAAATCCTTCTGAACTTTAGGGGCCAGAGGGATAGCTCAGAAGGGCCTGAGTTCAATCCCTGGTTCTGCCAAAAAAAAAGAAAAAAATTAATAGAGAATTTTATCTAAATATAAACTTCTAACACATGTATATTCACAATACACTGTAATGAATTTAGAATTTTTATAGTCTGGAGCACCCTGTATGTTATTACAGGCTTAGCCTGACAGGAAAAACCTATGTGTGTGTGTGTGTGTGTGTGTGTGTGTGTGTGTGTGTGTCCCACTCAGCCCACCTGGGGGCGGGGCTGGCTGGCAAGTGGTGCTGGGGCATTGAACCGCGGTCCCTGTGCTTTGCTAAGCTTGTTTCAAGTAGGTGCTTTAGACCACTGAGCCATCTCACCAGCCCTTTAGCTTTTAATTTCTTTCTTTTTTTGAGGAACTGAGGATTGGACTCAGGCTCTTGTGCTTGCCAGGCAAGCGCTTATTCTACTGAGCTGTCTTCCCGGCCCAAACAGGATTATATTCTTTCTTTTTTTTAAAAAATTTTATTTATTTATTTATGTGTGTGTGTGTGTTTGTGACCAGCTTAGCCCACCAGGGGGTGGGGCTGGCTGGCATGTGGTGCTGGGGGATTGAACTGCGGTCCCTGTGCTTTGCTAGGCTTGTTCTAAGTAGGTGCTTTAGACCACTGAGCCATCTCACCAGCCCTCTTTCTTTTTTTTTGGAACCAGGGATTGAACTCTGGCCCTTGAGCTTGCCAGGCAAGCACTTATTCTACTGAGCTATCTCCCCAGCCCCCTTAATTTCTTGTATATGGTGAGGAGCCACATTGAGAGTCTTTCTGGGTTGGAGGTGGAGTACAGAGGATTGAACCTAGGGTGTTTGCAGGAAGCTACATCCCCGATCCCTTTTAGTTTTTATTCTGGCACAGGGTTTTGCTGATTTTCCCAGGCCAGGCTGACTTTCAGTCCTCCTGCCTCAGCCTCCCAGAATGCTGGAGCTACAAGGATGTGCCCCCATGCAAAACTAAGAGTCTTCCCACATGTTGATCTGGATGTCATAGCATCATTTGTTGAAAGAAATGACTTCTCCCTCAGCACCCTGCCTGTGTCAGAAAACCATTTACTGCATGACTGAGGATCTCTTCCTGGGCTCTGTTCTGTGGTGTTGATCTCTGCCAAACCACACATCAGCTCTCCACTGCCTCCGTTGTACTAAACCTTGAAATCACAGAGAGTTAGTCTTCCAAGTTGGTTCTATTTTGGAATGGTTTTCACTACTTTATTTATTTATTTTTTGGTAGAACTGGGGATTGAACTCAGGCCCTTGTGCTTGCCAGGCAAGTGCTTATTCCACTGAGCCATCTCCCCGGCCTCACTACTTTAGATTTTATCACATTTCTGTATAATATTTTAGAATAAGCTTATTAATCTACAAGTTTTTAAAAAAAGCTTGGGGCTGGTGAGATAGCTCAGTGGTCTAAAGCACCTACTTAGAACAAGCTTAGCAAAGCACAGGGACCGCGGTTCGATCCCCCAGCACCACATGCCAGCTAGCCCAGCCCCGCCCCCTGGTGGGCTGAGCTGGCCACACACACACACACACACACACACACACACACACACAAAAATAAAAAAAATTTTTTTGAAACTTTGATAAAATGGAACTGAATGTATAACTACTTAAGTGAGAACTGATAATCTTAGCAATGTTAAATCTCACAATTCATTACCTTAGTGTACTTTTTTATTTTTATGATTTTACTTTGCAGTGTTTTATAGTATTTGGTGTGGAATCTTGCACATTTAAAAATACTTATTTTTAAATTTTTAGAAGTTTTTTTCAGGCTACAGTTTATTTTCTGGTTTTTGCTACTTTATGGAAATACAGGTTTATATTGACCTTGTGTTCAAGAGCCTTGCTCAGTTTAATTATTATAATAGTTTCATAGGTTCCCCAGTACTTCCTATGTAAAATACATTACCTTTGTGTCTCAGTTACTTTTCTGTCATTGCTGGGACAAAATACCTAACACCCAAAAATAAGGTTGGAAAGGTTTATTTAGCTCAGTTAGTGGAGGTTTCAGTCCATATTCAGCTGGCTCCAAAGCAAAGTGGCACGTGGCAAAAGGGCAGCTGTTCATGGCAGTGGAAAACAGCAAAACAACAAGAGCGAAAGGGAGGAGTAGTGGCAACAGTGGCTACAGAAAGCATTTTGTTGTTGCATTCAGGCTGTCTGCTCCAGGCTGGGTACCCATAATTCAAGCATTGGATCACAAATTAATCGCAAAGTCTAAAAGTCCGCCCCGGGCTGGTGAGATGGCTCAGTGGTCTAAAGCGCCTACTTAGAACAAGCTTAGCAAAGCACAGGGACCACAGTTCAATCCCCCAGCACCACATGCCAGCCAGCCCCGCCCCCTGGTGGGCTGAGCTGGACACACACACACACACACACAAATAAATAAATAATTAAAAAAAAATAAAAGTCCGTCCCATGACTGCATGAGGCTTTGAGGGGGACAACTAGACACAAACCATAATACTTGTATAGATGTTTTACTTCTTCCTCTCCAATATTTTGCCTTTTATCTGTAACCTTTGGGTAGGCAAATTTCTGAAGTGATATATAAAAAACATTAGCCTAAAGAGAAAAATAATAACAGATAACAGGCTGGAGTGTACCTCCTTCAGAAGCTCACCTTGCCCTTCTCCTTGTAGGAGAAAATCATCATAGGACTGGCCTATGACTGTGTGGACAAGATGGTGTACTGGACGGACATCACTGAGCCCTGCATCGGGAGAGCTAGCCTGCATGGCGGAGAGCCAGCCACCATCGTCCATCACGGTAGGCAGGCAGAGCCCACCCTTTTTTGGGCCCCTTTGTAGCAGCTCGCGTGGCTCCGGGTAGGGGTAAAAGGTGGAAGGTGGAATGTATGGCCATTCACCAGGTGTGGTGGTTTGTGAGAGGCTGAGCCTCTGTCCCCAAACACCATCTGTCCATCTCCTCTCAAGAGTCTGCCATGAGCCCAGGAACACTATAGCTGAAGTTTGTTGCTGGCTTAGGAGAATAAAATCAAAACAGGACAAATGTCTGTACCTTTCCCTGATAAGACCCACAGCCAGCTGGCTTGAGGCATAACAGCGGAGCTTACCATCCAGATTAATGTGTATGTTTCTCTTTGGCTGCTGAGCCTGGTGTGACCACTCTGCTGTGTACTACATGAAGCGTGACAGGCAGATGAATCACAAAGTTGGGAGGGTCACAAGTCATTATCTTGAGGGTTGAATCTAGTCCTGAGATAGCTGGTGAGTTAAAGAGTGGTCATTTCACCCTGTAGCACAGCGGGGTTAGGGGTAGCTTCTCTTTTCTGTCTCACTGATTGCTTGCATTGCCTTAGCCGGAAGAAGTCAGTATGAGCCCAGGATTCTGTGCAGTGTTTTAAAGCCTATACTCAACAAAGCAAGTCCATTTTATATGAGTATGTTATTTTTAGATCAAAGGCCACTGTAGCAAACATCCTAGGGCCTGTAAAAATCTTCCTGTGCCATTAAGAATTACATTTTAAGTCATGACTCATCCACTGATCTGGTAATATTTTTGCTCAGATTTGTCATTTTGACCTTCATTGTATAAAATCTTCTTGCTTCAAATCAGAGATTTGTCTTTAAAATATATAGGCTTCATTTTGTGTATCTTTTTGGGACTTCGCATTTCCGGTTTACTGCTTCTCCTAGTGGTAGATAATCCGCAAGGGTCTTTGCGCTGGAAGGATGCCCAACAGTACTTCTTTCCTCCATTTGCTCTGTCCCTGGAGCTAGCTGCTGCAGTGGGAACTGAGCCCAGGCTGGATTAAGTCTCTGGCTTTGCATTTAAACCCTGAGGCCTTTTCTGGAAACAGATAGACATTTAAATGATCTCTGCTAGTTGTTACGCTTTTGCTTACTGAACCAGAAGTTTGTGCCTCTCATCTCTGTCGAAAATGTTATCTTCAGTTTGATTTGAAAGCCCAGTAGAGGGAGGGAGCAGGTCATCACTGCTATTTCCTGTTGCTTCTGGAGCTGATAATCATCCAAGAATGCTTTAAGCACAACGAGAAGCCTTCCCAACCAAAGCCTGCTTAAATTCAAAAACACAGAATTCAACCAAAATGTAGTCTTTGTAGACGAAAGATCACCAGGCAGAGATGGTCAGCAGTGGTGGTAGTGGTGGTGGCGGTGCAGGGGGTGGCAGGGGGGTGTTCAGGTACTGTTTCTATGGTTAGGTGCTGTGGGTATCCTTTCCTTTTCCTCTTCATTTCATACACTCAGAATCCTGGGCTTCTCTTTCTCTTTATGTGTTGAAATCCTAACCAGTATCTTTAGTGAATATGATCAGTTTCCTTTTGACAGCAGTGCAGAATACAACACCACCATGCCATCCACCCTGTTCTCTGTGTAGTAAAGGGTGAAGTATAGACCCTTCCTTAGTAAGTGTAGTGTTTTCCCGTTTGGGAGTGAGGCGCCTTGGTGACTTCTGGGTTTAAAGTCACAACCGGGGCTGTGTTAGAGGAAACGTTATGGTGTGGATCTCCTGCGGGGTACCTCTAGGTGCTGTGTGGAGGCCGCCTTAAGCCTTTCCCTTGCTCTGCATGTCCCTGTGGTTCTCATCTCTCAGGATATGCTCGTTCCAAGTACTCCCCAGAATGGATTACTCCGGTTCTGTCTGAAAGCCAGAAGGGAAGGGGCCTTTGGACGTCACTCTTGCTGTCCCTGGGGCTCTAGGGATGTGGAAAAGATCGTGATACTTTTCAAAGCACTACTCTGGGTTTGAATAATAAAAGATGTCATTCAAGTGAGGTTTCTAGTTCTGAGTCACTTTCCCTCTAGTGTCAGGGGTTTTGACTCCCTGGCAAGGCTGATACACAAATGGGGCCAAGTGCTAGACTCACTGTGTACAGACAAAGGAACCCCAGGCCCCTCTGTAGGGCAGCCTCTGCCCATTCCTGCCTGCTTCCCCTCCCCACCAGCTATGCCACGAGTCTTCCTGCCCCTGATCAGTTCGGTGAAAAATCCTAAGTGAGACTACTTGTTATACAATGTCATTGTAATGTTTTGAATTTATAGCCAGGAAACTGTTGGAATCTTGAACTTTGGGTAGAGCTAGACAAATGCTGAGTGCTCACACTGAAGCTTCTGGTACTTACTTGAACACCACTGTAGCTCAGTGAGGACTGGACTGCAGGGCGGGAGGGAGACATTTGTAATCAGTGGCACCCCTTCTTTTCACCGTTTATACTTGCATTTCTTGAAAATATTATTGTTCTGGACTGTCTTACCCCATACTAAATGAAAAAGGAAAATTAATTTACTGGGACTATCTTACCCCATACTAAATGAAAAAGGAAAATTAATTTACTGGTCCATCTCCATCTAAAGACCTTTACTTAGGTGATAGTCTAAATATTTTTTCCCTGAATCCAACCTTGGGGGCGGGGCCCTCACACTGAGCTACATCCCTTGCCCTTTCTATGGTTAGAGACTCACTAAGTTGCCCAGACTCAGCTGAAACTTTCAGTCCTCCTGGCTCCTCCCCACCGAGTTCTGGGGTTACAGACGCCCACCACCATGCCCAGCATCCTCGCTTTGTCTCTGGCTCATGTTCTCCAGCTGTAGAAAATCATACAGGCTTCATTTCAGGCCATTTCCCCATCTTCCTTTATACCCGTGTGCTGGCCCTGCTTCCCAAAAACTTATCCAGGATCTTTGCCTGACAAACTCTTAGGGTTCCTTCAAGAGCCAGCTGGGGGTACCTATCCCCCACTCCCAGAAAGTCCTTTTTGATCTCTGCATGCTGGGTCCCTCCTCAAGGCTCCATGGAACCTGGAATCTGGTCTGATTCTTGGCAGCTGTGGGCCAAGGCCATAGTCAGACCCTGACCTTGCCCTCGTTCCCAGTGCCACATATGATGGGTGGACAAGTAAGGTGTTTTGTCTTTTGTATTTTAGGGAAGGGTCTACAGGGTGTTCAGAGTCTCACTACCGGATTGTACTCATAGTGATCTGCCTGTTTACAGCCTCCCAAGAGCAAGAGCTGGGATTACAGGCGCGCATCACCACGCCCAGTCTCAATTGCCATCTCAGTGAGCCCTGGGGGCAGGGCTGGCACGGCAGGCTCAGGGATTGAACCCCCAACCCCTGTGCCTGCTTACAGGCTCTTCAATCCTCCGAGCTATTTGGCTAGCCCTAGTTTGTCATTTTGAGAGTTGCTTATCTTATAAACATTCGCCATTTCATACATTCCCACTTGGATTTTCAAAGTGTAAGGACTGGATACCCTGTGAAATAGCACTGGGTAATCAGCAAAGCCTAATTTCAGGCAGGGCATGCAGCTCAGCAGACATGACCCTGGGTGCTGGCCCCAGCGCCACAGAAAACAAATAGGAAGAGAGGAAAGGAAAGGAGAAGTTCACCTGCCCTGTGTCTGGTTCTAGATCTGGGCAGCCCCGAGGGCATTGCCATCGACCATCTTGGCCGCAACATGTTCTGGACGGACTCTCACTTGGACCGAATAGAAGTCGCCAAGCTGGATGGCACACAGCGCCGAGTGCTGTTTGATACTGATTTGGTGAATCCCAGAAGCATCATAACGGATCCCGTGAGAGGGTACTTCTGTGTCTTTTGTTATATTTGTGTCTGGCCCTTCTGGATATTCTCAAATGTGAGGCTCTAATGCCAGCGTAGCTGTCCTGAGATGAATGGGTAAGGGATGGTGACTGGCAGCGATCCCGGAAGCTGGCAGAAAGCCGGCACATGCATGATGATGCAGATTTCATACTTGCTCCGTTTTTAAATCTCTTGCCAAGACACTTGATAAGTTGCCAGCTCAGAAATTGATTTTTTTCTGCAAGGGTTGAATGTGGATCCATACTCAACTGTCCATGAGCCCCGTGCGTCCCTGGCCTCCGCCCGTGAACCTGCCATCTGGGGACTTCTCACGGGGCTCCTCAGCACATCGTTGTTTGGGAGCACATTCCTCGGGCTGTGCCTGCTCTGCCACCTCTTAGATCAAAGAGCTTTGACTGTTGCCTCTGCTGGTGTGCGGCTTGCCTTCTGGTCCCTTGAGTCTGTATTATTCCACTGAGCAATCTCTCCAGCCCCGGGAGGCAACATATGGAGAGTTAATATATGTTTATGTCACTTATGACATTTTGTTTTTGCAGAACCAGGGAATGGACTCAAATAGAAGTCACCAAGCTGGGTGGCCCACAGTACCGAGTGCTGATTTGGTGAATCCCAGAAGCATCATAACAGATCCCTTGAGAGGGTATTTCTTGCGTTTGCCAGGGAAGCACTTACTCTACTGAGCCATCTCCCTGGCCCCACTTATGACGTTTTGTTCATAGTTGTTTTTTTTTTTTTAAAGTTATGTTAGGGAACTGAATTTGTTAGTGACAATAACCAAATTCAGATGAGGAACCAACTCTAAATGTCCTTGGAAAAGGACCCATTTGTTTTTCATAAACTTTTCTCCCATACACATTTAGCATTTCTCTTTCTCTTCCTTTTCTCCTCCAGGAATCTTTACTGGACAGACTGGAACAGAGATAACCCCAAAATTGAAACTTCCTACATGGATGGCACGAACCGCAGGATTCTTGCGCAGGATGAGCTGATCTTACCCAATGGCCTGACATTTGACCCGTTCTCATCACAGCTGTGCTGGGTGGACGCAGGTGACAGAGAGGTTGATGCTATCCTGGGAGAATTCTCAGTCAGGAGCTGGCAAACAGTGACCCCCAGGCCCAGGGAAACCTGCTCCCTATTTTTGCCCAACCCAGACTCTGACCAGTTTTTACATTGTGACTGCGAAATGTTACATTTGAAGTGGTTGTAGCAATACCTGGGAACCACCTTTTTTTTTTTTTTTTCAGAACTGGGGATTGAACTCAGACCCTTGCACTTGCCAAGGAACTTATTCCACTGAGCATCTCCCCGGCCCCAAAATACAGTTTTTTGTTTTTTTGTTTTTTTTTTTGCAGAACCGGGAATTAAACTCAGGTCCTTGAGTTTGCCAGGCAAGCACTTATCCTACTGAGCTATCTCTCCAGCCCCAGGGAACCACCTTTTGTTTTGCCCATAGAACCAAAAATAATTCTTACCTGCCCCAAGAGTAGGCTGTCCCCTATTCTGAGTGGCACCTAATGGGGCTGGCAGCTTGCTACATGTCATGTGATTCAACTTAACGTTTCCAAAGCTCCCTTTAGTCCCCATGGCTCCAGCAGGGCTTTGAGTCTAGGAAGCTCCAACATGAGCACCCCGTGCGCAGTCCCAGACATGTAGCCCTCCTTGCCAGATGCAGGTGCCCCTCAGGCTTGGGGTGGAGGGAGGAGAGCCACTGTCCTGTTCTGCAGCAGTCTCCATACCTGCTCTATTCTAAGCTGTGTCAAATGTCAAGGATGCTAGTGGCAGCACTGTGTCCCTGTGCAGTCGGGATAAGGAGGACACATGTACTGGCAAGGGGTGATCAAAATATATGGGGAGGCTAGATTTTTTTTTTTTTTTTTTTTTTTTTGGTGGAACAGGGGATTGAACTCAGGTCCTTGCGCTTGCCAGGGAAGCGCTTATTCCACTAAGCCATCTCTCCAGCCCCAGGAGGCTAAAATTTAAAAGTCAATTACAGTAAAAGAAATGTTACCATTAGTGTCCCTGAACTCCCCCTAGTTTACATACTATTTTTGCCACTTTTGGGGGAGGGGTGTTAGAAATTAAACTCAGGACCTCAGGCTTGCCATACAGGGGCTGTGCTGCTGGGCTATACTTGGCCCCTATTTTTGCCACTTTCTAAAGCAGTTCTGGAGGCTTTCCATGAGTGTCTTTATAAGGCGTGATTAAAAAAAAATGCAGTGAATGCTGTCGCTGAGAGTCATCCAGTGGAAAAGCAGGCTCATGAAAACATCCCAGTATGTCCTCTTCCACGTTATTGGGTCTCGTACTTCCTAAAGCCAAAATGACCATGAAAAGGTCAGTGTTTTTGTTTTTTTAAATTAGATTTTATGGCTACACTTTAGATACATGATGATCACATTTGTTAGAGGGTTTGTGCTTGTTGCATGTGATCCTCTGCTGTCCCTTCAACCTTTCCTCCTCACCCAATTTACAAAAGCTTTGTTTAATTCTCTTGGGAAGATACCCAGGAGGGGAATGGCAGAATCAAATGGAACCTCTAGCCATTGTTTTTTTTGTTTGTTTGTTTGTTTTTGGGGATTGAACTCAGGTCCTCACACTTGCCAGGGAAGCACTTATTCCACTGAGCCATCTCCCCAGTCCAAGCCATTGTTTTTTTAAGGAATCTCTATACTGATTTCCACAGTACTTGTACCAGTCTGCACTCCTACCAACAGTGGAGAAACGTTCCTACTTCTCCCCAGCACCCCCCCCCCAGCATTTGTTATTGATTCCTTGATCGTAGCCATTGTTTCTGAAGTAATGTGAATCTCAGTCTTGTTTTAATTTCTTCCCTTAAATGATTAGTGATATTTCACATTTTTTCATGTATTTGTTTGCTGAAGAGTCAGACTTTTGCATCTATTTGGGACATTGACGCAGCTTATAATTGAACAACTCAGGCCACTCACAGCAGGTGCCTTCCAGAACTGCTTCAGAAAGAGCCAAGAGTGGGATAAATGTGTTTGAAGTGATGGGTAATGACTATTTTGAGGGGTTTCATGGCAATATGACTTTTATTATAATACATTTGTAAAAATTTGAACATCCACTGTACTTTTTATCACACCATGCAAATGATCCCCTGATCCTCAGGACAGTGCCTGTGGTGGTGCACATGCTACCAGGCAGCATTTGTAATTGCTATGACTAGAGAGTTTTGGGATCCAGAGATTCTTAGCAGAGTAAGAGCAGGAGGTGGCACAGCCCCTCCTGAGACAGGAGGCTGGACCCGCAGAGACAGCACCCTGGCTTATGTCTCCTAGGCCCGGGTGTGGGTGCTGGGACATAGGTGGGTGTAGGCAGATGAAAGAAGCAAGAGTACCAGAAGGGAAACTGTGCCTGCATCTAAGAGCGAGCCCTGGGATCTCTAGGGTCTGTTGCTGAGGTTCTCCCACTCTTGGCCCTGTTACCCTCAGCCTGGGACACAAAGGACCCATTGCTTGCATGAACAATAAGCAACTTGTTTTTCCTATGCTCAGGCACCCATCGGGCAGAATGCCTCAACCCGAGTCAGCCCAGCGTGCGCAAGGTTCTCTCGGGACTTGAGTACCCTTTCGCAGTGACAAGCTTTGGGAAGAATCTGTATTACACAGACTGGAAGAGGTATGTGGGCTGCCGCCCCACCGTGGGTCTCCAGGAGGTCAGGTCCTTCCCTGTTGACTCTTGTCTAGACCTTTAAGCCTTCAAAGATGCCCCCTTTCCCCTCTTTTCTGGTTATAAGGGCATAGGAGATGAGGGTTAAGGAGGGAAGACAAGGCTCCGAGGAGCATAGGAGGTGCCATTGTCATCTGCATGTTCCCAGAATCTGTTCTTCCCCAGGAGCTGGCCTAGAGTCACTTGGCTGTAGGGTTCCATGCCTCTGCCATTGCGATCACCACCTCTTCCTCCTCCGCATCAATACTAGAGATTAAACCCAGGCCTTTTGCACTTAGCTACATCTCTAACCCTGTTTTATTTTTTATTTTCAGACAGGATATCAGTGAGTTGCTCAGGCTGGACTAGAATTTGAAATCCTGCTGCCTTAGATTTTAGGATGCTAGAATCTTAGACATGTACCACCACAGCAAGTTTAATTATAATTCTTAGCCTGTGGCTTTCCCATACCTTCTGAAGGAAGGAAAGCTGAGGAGGTCTCTGGCTAGGGCTGTCTGTGTAGACCTGTGTCCCCCTTAGTAATTATAACTACCTGATTTATCCCTATCTTTAGGAAAGAACTGCATGCTTGACCTGGCCCTCTACCCCATACACCCCTCAGGAGCCGTGAGCGGTGCTAGGCAGCAAGACCACCATGTCTGTTTATGGCCCCCAGACTATAAGGAGGCTATCCTGTTGAGAAGTGTTCTACCTTTGGATGTTTTGCAGGAATTCCGTGGTTGCTGTTGATCTTGCAATTTCTAGTGTGACAGACACATTCCACCCCCACAAGCAGAGCCGCCCATATGGCATCACCACCACCCTGTCACAGTGTCCCCAAGGTAACTCACCTATGCTGCCACTCCTGGGGATCTGGGGATCATGAAGCTCAGGGTGCAGTGCTGGCTGTTGGTAGCCTGGTTCGCACTATGGGAGAGAGGTGTTCCCTCCCAGCAGGGCCCTCCATTCAGGAGTGGTGTTTAGTTAGGTTTTTAGCTGCTCCGAGTAGATACTTCATGGCACAAGGGCTTGGTAGATGCTTGGCTCACAGTTGCCAGGATGTTGGAACTGTGAACTATTGAGGGATCAGATATAGATCCCAAGACTGGGCCTCCAAGACCCACCAGACATCTAGAGGAGTGCTTAGCCAGACTCTAGGGGAGATGCCTACTTAATCAAGTTGAAACTGCACTTTGACCACCCCCAAGAACTGAGCCAGAGCCAAAGTTAAATGATGTAAGCATGGCCAGGAAAGTCCGAGCCCCTGCTGGGTCTCTAAGAGTGCAGTCTTCAGGTCCCTAATAGGCCCTCAGAGTCAGCAGAGCATCTCGGCTGCTTTGCATATTCATCTGTTTGGTTTAACAGCAACAGCAATGCTTAATTAGAAGTGAAACTTACCTGTGACGCTTACGGGAGTCTGGTACTTGACGTACGCTGGCTCACTCAGGCATGTGCACCTTGTATACCCTGTGGGGTCGGTGCTGTTGTGATTCCTTTTGTACAAGACAAAACAAGCCACTTGATCAAAGTCACCCACTCACAGTGGCAGAGCAGCAGGTGGATCCTCGACTGCTGTGTTCCAGCTTCTCTGAGCAGTTTCCTCTTCACCTTCCATCCTCCCTATAGGCAGTACAAACCCAAGAGTATGAGCTAGACCGAGTCTCAGCTCCATGTTAGGGTGGTGGAAATCCTCCCTAAGGTCTGTGTAAGTGAATCTGTGGGGCGCTGGTCGGGAGCCAGTTTCTGCCTGTTTGGTTTAATGAGGAGGAAACACGCAGCTCAGCTTGGCCGACTGCCAGCACAGCCCTCCCCCTCCGCTGGATCCCTCACCAGCTTGGCCTCTGGGAAACCCAGAAACAGGGCTAATCAGGAGGCTGCACACTACATAGCTGTTGAGTTAGGGTAGAGGCGGCTGTGCGCTGATGTCTGCCTTTTCCAGGTCACAACTACTGCTCAGTGAACAATGGCGGCTGCACCCACCTCTGCCTGGCCACCCCAGGAAGCAGGACCTGCCGCTGCCCTGACAACACCCCAGGGGTAGACTGTATCGAGCGGAACTGAAGACAGGCATGCCTCCTTCCCTCTCCGCATATCTCACAGCAGTGCCCTACTTGAAACTACTTGGTCCAGACAGGCACCTGTCCGCCAGCGGAGGGACCGCTATGCCCAGGTCTATCCCAGCCTGAGCCCAAATAACTTTCCCCACACTCAACCCCAAAATATGCACCCAGGGCTTCTGTTATAAGATCTCTGCCCTGATATAGGGGTTGGATCTCCCACCCTGACCTCCTCCTTCAGACAAAGTTACAGAGCCCCGGGTGAAAACAATGTCCCATGTCCTAGGACCTTTCCCTAGTCCTAGTCCCCAGGGGTGAGAAGACCCTCCACAGGCATGGGTGGCCCCTTCTTGAGGGCCTTCTGAGATTGGCCTGTACTCTGAAGCACCCACCATCCTGCCAGCTGTTCGGTACACCAGCTGGGGCCAGACCAGGCAAGGATGTGAAGGGGGAGTTAGCCCTGCCACTCCATTTCTCTTGGTGCTCTCATGTCCCCTGTTGTCCCCACCTTTTTGCTTCTCAGTTCCTCACCACCTTTACCCTGCCCAAGACACTGATGTCAGTGAGCACACTCTCTGCCTTATGACCACAAACCTCCCAGTTCCAGCGCTGCATGGAAGCTGGTGGGCAGTAATGAGCAGCCCTTCCCAGAGAGAATACTGGCTGTTCAGCAGTGCAAAGGTTGATGGCAACAAAGCATCCTGGGGAAGAAATTTATGATGTAGTCAGCTGTTTGAGGATCAGGGTTCTCTTGATGTGCCTTAGGTGATACCAAAGATGACACATTATCCCTCCTGGCCAGCAGCACCTGTGTCTCAGCCTTTGGCTGTGGTGCTGTGCTGGTCTCCAGTCCTGCTGCTGATACCAGTGTCCATTCTTACAGAGACCAGCTTGGCACCGGCTGGGGCCTACCTAACCCTTACCTCCAGCCCCTATTCTTGAGTACCTGTGTGCTCTCAACCCTGAACATCTTTATGTCTCTCTTCTCTGTGGCCCCTGCTGCATCTATTTTCATCTAAAGACACAGTCTAGGAAGATCTCAGACGCCTTCCCTCATACCTTGTCCTAATGCAAGGGACTATTACTATGTTTCATATTTATGTTTGAACAAGTTTTTTCGAAACCATTTCCTGGCCGTATGAGTAGCTGGTGTTCTCTCTTCCAGCTGCTTCCCAGAGTTCTGAGACAACCAAAATTTTGGATTGGAATTTAAACAAAGAGTTTGAGCCAGGACAGCATGGGGCAAGAGGGGTAAAAAACATCAGAAGAGACTGATCAAGGGCAGGAATGGAAACCCCAAGAGGAAGGGGCCAAGGAGGGGTTTAAGAACACCAATAATAAAATCCATTAACACCAAAGAGAAGCTGGTACATTTTTGCCAAAACTCACATATCTTAAGGACATGGAAGAATTTGTTCTCCTTGGGCAAAAGATCCTCACCCCCTTTTGCTTAAAGCCTTAGTGCTTGCTGCCTGCCCCTTCCCTCCTGCCTTTGCCTCACCTACTTAAATAATTGGAGTTGTTTTGAGAAGCAGCTGTATCCCCAAGAATCACAATTTTGGGGAAATGTGGGTCCTACATGAAGCGAGCCCCATACATTATATTTGTGTTTATCATCCCATATCAAGCCCTGCATATGAAGTGTTCATCATGATGTGTAGTGTTTGTAACTATTTTTTTCATTTTACTAGATTCATTCTAAAGTCTCAAATGGTAAGTTTTAAGCTGTGGAAACCACTGAAGGTGCTTATTAACTGTTCCTCAAAATGTACACAAGTATTGAACAATTCCTTGAGTTTACAGCTGTACAAATATTATGAAGGATATTAAAAAGTGTTTTTGTTAAAAAAGAAAGTCTGTTTGTCTTTTTCAAACGAAGAGCTGTAGTGCTGGGAGGCTGGCTCACCATGGAGCCCCAAGACTCAAGCTGCATGAGATCTTGCTGGGAGTTGCATGTATCCCCAGAATCTAGGAAGAACGTAGGGGCTTGCAGTTGACTTGAAGAGTGACTACATCATAAATCCCAAGCCACCATTTTAGACATTGTTTTCACTTCAGGAAGAAGTGTTTAGCTGCAGGGCTTAGAAGGCTTCCTAACTCAGCTCTGCAGTGCGCTGTGCTCACCTCTTCTCTTGGAGAAGGATCCATGCTTTCCTGGTGGTCATGGAGTGAGACCCTAATCTGTTCTAAAGAAGCTGCCACCAATGAGCAGGGCCACCAAGTATGCCTCAGTGGGAATGGTGGCAGGCAGCCTTGTGCACAGAAGCCCAAGTTCCTGCTGTTCCTTGCTGGAGCCAAGCTGGGCAACAGACTGTTCTCCAAAATATTCAACATTGTGGACTATTACCAATTGCTGCTTCTCTTCCTGAAGGGACAGGCATATAGAAATCTTCCTGATGCTGGATTTGTCCATGATTTCTTGAATATGACATCGAAAGTACAAAGAAAAAAAAAAAAAACAGGTAAATTTGACTTCATAATTTAAAATAATTGTGCATCAGGGGCTGGCGAGATGGCTCCGTGGTCTGAAGCACCTACTTGGAACAAGCTTGGCAAAGCACAGAGACTGCGGTTCGATCCCCCAGCACCACATGCCAGCCAGCCCCGCCCCCTGGTGGGCTGAGCTGGCCATATACACACACACGCACACAATAAATAAATAAATGTTAAAAAATAAATAAATAAAAAATAAAATGTTTAAAATAGTTGTGCATCAAAAGATACTATTAAGATTGAAAAACATTCAAAAGCAAAACAATACTTGCAGGTGTGTATCTTGGATTAATACGGAGGATAAAGAATTGCACTTCAACAACTGAGAAAATCCAAAGTAAATGGATTTGAATCTTTCTACAAAGATCCAGAATGGGCAATAAACATGGGAAAAGATGCTCCAAGGTTGGGGTGCACCTCAGGTGGAGTCCACGTATTGCACATGTGAAGCCCTGAGTGGTTCACCAGAAAAAGGTAGCATTAGTTATTGAGTTGAAAATCAAAACCAAATTTGATACTTCATACCCATTAGGAATGCTGTTATCAAAAGGAAAAAATGTGGGGCTGAGGAGATGACTCAGTAGAATAAGTGCTTGCCTGGTAAATTCAAGGGCCTGAGTTCAATCCCCAGTTCTGCCAAAAAGAAAGAAAAAATATGCTGAAGTGGGACATTAGAACTGCTTTGCTGGTGGTAGAGTAAAGTGGTGCAGACTCCGGAAAATGGTGGTTTCTCAGAAAGTTGAATGTAGACTTACCTTGTCTCAGTTACTTTTCTCATTTCTGCGACAAAATATGTGGCACCCAAAATTCATGAAGGAAAGGTTTATTTAGCTCAGTAGAGGTTTTAGTCCTTACTCAACTGACTCCAAGGCAGAGCAGCACATGGCAGAGGGCAGCCATTCACAGTGGTGGAAAACAGCAAAGAGCAAAGGGAGGAGCAGCAGCTGAGGCAGCTAGCAAGCCTCTCTCCCCTCCTTATGTTTTATCCAAACTATCTGGCCCAGGGTGGGGGTAGCGTGCACACCCATAGTCCCAGCATTTGATCATGAATTAAACTCTAGAAGCTACCCCAGTGACTGCATTAGGCTTTGCGGGAACACCTAGACACAAACCATAACAGATGTGGTCTGGAGGTCCTCTCCTAGCTGTATACCTGAGGGAGTAAAAGCTGGGCCAGACACTTGCCACCCAGTATTCATTGTGACATAATTAACCATTGCCAAAAGATACAAATAGCCTGTGCTCATTGGTGGATGAATGGATAAACAAAATACGGGATACTAATTCAATTTGGTTATAAAAAGGGAAATTCTGACACACACCACAGTCTGAACTTTGAAGATGGTATGGTATGTGAAATACACCAGACAAGAACAAATAGTATGATTCTTTAACGAATATCAAAGAGAAGTTCATGAACATTAAAAGTAGATTAAAGTTACCAGGAGTTGAAGGAAAGGAAGGTTGGAGAGGTATTGCTTAGGTCACAGGGTGTTTATTTTGGGGGCATTGGAAAGGTTTATGGTGATAATGGTTACGTGACACACTCAATGTAATCAATGCCAATGAATTGTGCTTAAATGTCTAAAAGGACAAATTCCATGTTCTATCATTAAAAACAATACAAAACACCCTTCTTCTAGATCCAATCCTAGCCCAGGCCGGTGAGTGTGTGGGAGAACTTCTGGCTACCCTGCGCCGGCGGGACCTGCCGTCCCAGCCCAGGCGCAGAGTGGGTGAGACCCTCATCCACTCCTTTGGGACGCCTCCCACCGCTCCGTAGCACCCCCCACCCTGCCCACTGAGTACGAATTTCTGCCATGTTC